ATACTTCAAAACTTGAGAGAGGGACCATGCATGGTTGAGCAGGCAAAGGTGCTTGATGCCAAGTCTGATACCTTGAAAAGTTTGATCTCTAGCACCCACATGGTGGAAAGAGAGAGCTGACTGCCGCACGGTTTCCTCTGACCTCCACCTGTGTGTGGTGTGGTCACTCACTTACACTGCTCCCCACTACAAATAAATAAATTAATAAAAAATGTAGGGCCGGTGAGATGGCTCCATGGATAAAGGTGCTTGCTTGCCTGGCAGCTTGAATTCAATCTCTGAAATCCACATGGTAGAAAGGGAGCTGATTCCACCAATTTGTTCTGTGACCAACCTATGAGAGCACACATGCGTTCACACACACACACACACACACACACACACACACACACACACACTCCCACACTGGTGGTTTGAATAAGAATGAACTCTATTAGCTCATATATTTGAATGCTAGCCTAAATTGGTGGGATTGTTTGGAAAGGAATTAGAGGTGTGGCCTTGTTGCAGAAGGTGTGGTCTTTTTTTAAAAATATTTACTTATTATATATACGGTGCAGGCCAGAAGAGGGTACCAAGATTCATTACAGGTGGCTGTACACCACCATATGGTTTCTGGGAATTGAACTCAGGACCTTTGGAAGAGCAGGCAAAGCTCTTAACCACTGAGCCATCTCTCCAGCCCAGAAGGTGTGGTCTTATTGGAGGAGGTGTGTCACGGAAGGTGGGCTTTGAGGTTTGAAAAGTCCAGACCATTTTAGCTAGCTCTCTCACTTTATGCTGTGGACTAGTTTTAAGCTCCCAGTTACTGCTGCAGCACCATGTCTGCCTGCTGCTCTGTTATCATGGACTCACCCTCTGGAAGGATAAGTTCCCACGAGATGTTTCCTTATATAAGTTGCCTTGGTCTTAGTGTCTCTTCATAGTAATATAAAAGTAAGCAAAACACGGCCAGGTGGTGGTGGTATACACTTTTAATCCCAGCACTTGAGAGGCAGAGGCAGGCGGATCTCTGTGAGTTCAAGGCCAGCCTGGTTTACAAGAGCTAGTTCCAGGACAGGCTCCAAAGCTACAGAGAAACCCTGTCTCGGACCCCCACCCAAAGTAACCAAAACACACATACACACACACCACCACCACCACTACCACCACCACCACCACCAACAACAACAACAAAGACCAATCAATAAAGGGTAAAATAATTTAAATAAATGTAATGTGATGTTTTTGTTTGTTTGATTGATTGTTTTTTTGAGACAGGATTTCTTTTTTTTGAGACATAAGTTCTGGCTGTCCTAGAACTCCCTCTGTAGACCAGGCTGGCCTCAAACTCATAGAGATCTACCTGCCTCTGCCTCCCAAGTGCTGGGATTAAAGGCATGTGCCCCCTTCCTAGTGTAAAGCAATTTTTTAATTAAAAAGCAGTTAAACATTTTAAAAAAGATTTACTTATTTGTTTATTATGTATACAGTGTTCTGCCTGCATTTCTGCCTGCAGACCAGAAGAGGGCATCAGATCTCAACCGGATGGTTGTGAACCATGATATGGGTGCTGGGAATTGAACTCAGGACCTTTGGAAGAAAAACCAGTGCTCTTAACCACTGAGCCATCTCTCCAGCCCTGGCAGTTAAACATATTTTAAAAATATACTTGATGCGTCTTTACAAAAAGATTTCTTTATATCTTATGTGTATGAGTGCTTTGCCTGCGTGTTTGCCTGTGCACCACAACATGCAGTGCCTGTGGAGGCCAGAAGAGGGCATTGGATCTCTTGGTACTGGAGTTACAGATGGTTGTTAGCTATGTGGGTGCTGGGAATCAAACCTTGGTCCTCTCCAAGAACATCAAGTGCTCTTAACTGTTGAGCCGTCCCCTAAACCCCTAATCCACCTCCCTTGCTCACTTCTCACAGGCCTGCAGGCAATCCTTTCTTGCCCTCACAAGGCACACGACCCACCTTTAGATGTTGGGTTAGTCACCCATGCAGATACGCAGGACTGTATTTTGGTCCTGGTCAGGTTTTCCCTACCTCCTCCTACTGGCTTGTATACCGTCATATAGACCCTTGATTCTAGGACACGCTGCCCTGTCCCCAAGGTCCTTATTTACAAACTGCAACAAAGGCAAGCTGAGAAGGAACAAGGAAAGAGGGGCGTGGTTATCACAGAGTAACGGTTCTCAACCCTCCTTACTCTGCGATCCTCACGCTGTGGTGACCCCAGCCATAGAATTATTTAACTGCTACTTTATCACTGTAATTTTGCCGCTGTTAGGAGTCTTAATGTAAATATCCGACATACAGCATATCTGATACGCGATCCCGAACGGGTCATGACCCACGCAGGTTGGGAGCCGCTGCCATAGAGAGACTGGAATACCAAGTGGCTCAAGCTTTCTAAACAAAAGCAAAACCAAAAAGCCCCATAGCACTACACCGGCTGGCCAAAGTGTAAATACAAATAAAGTAAAAGATTTAAAAAGAAAGGAAGAAAAATCTCAGAATAGTGTTGGGATTCAAGAGCCCCAGCTTGTCAACCCCACTTAGCTGCTCCCTAAAGACAAGCTGACCCTGGCAAAGAGCCAGATTCTCAACGGGCCCAGGGACTTGTTTTAAATGCCCCCCCTTCTTTCTCTCTCTCTCCACCACAAGCCCTGCCTCCAGGAACTGTAGAAGGTGCCATCAGGCCTGGAAGCCACCCTGTGCCAGGGAAGGGCCAGGGGTCTGATGCAGCCAAGACCACGCCCACCCCTGGAGAGTGCAGCAACTCCCTTGGTTCATCAAATACAGATCCATAGCATTGTCCCTGACTGGGCCTTCTCCAGAGCTGCCTGACGTGAACCTGAAGGCTCTGGCAGTGTCTACTTCCTGTCTTTGGGGAATGTTTGTCCTGGGAACCCATGGGAACCGAGCCACCACACTGTGAAAGCGGAGCAGCTGCACATGGAGATGCCACACACAGCTGAGGTTCCTGCTGACAGCTGCATTAACCACCCCATGTGAGTGACAGAGGCCTTCAGCCCAGACTGTGAGCCAGCCTAGCCTACCTGGCTTTGGAGCAGAGTTGAACTGACCCCACAGGAACTGCAGATCTGCAAGCACAGTGAATGATTCTTACTGTTGCGGGGCACCGGGACCAGCAATGCTACATGGCACTAGGTAAGTGGATGGTTGTCCTTCTCTGTCTTTCAGTATGTCTAGACATAACACCTCTTCCTCGTCTCGCCACCTCTGCCAAATGGCATACATTAACATCTCGGTGGGCACCCTCCCAATTATTTTCATGGTTACAGTCTGAGAACCTGGCTGTGGTGGTGAATTTCCCCACTCCAGACACACCAAACAGGGTCTCTCAGTGTAGCCCTGGCTCTCCTGGAACTCACTCCGTAGACCAGACTGACCTCAAACTCAGAGATCCTCCTCCTTTTGCTGAGTGCTGGGATTAAAGGCGTGTGCAGTCACACTCAGTTTTGGAGGTTAATTTTGATTGTCTGTTAAGCTCGATTAAAAAGCATCTAGGCCCAGGGCATTAGTGAACTGTATCTTTGGGTGTGACTGTGAAGTCATTGCCACAGATGCTTGACTGTGAGGGAAAGACAGACTGACTATGGGCAGCACCATTCTGTGGGTTAGCCTAGGGTCACAGGCTGAAGAAAAAGGGAAAAGAAGGCCAGCTGAGTATTCATGTATAGACAGAAGTTTCTGTCACATCCAGTCCTGCAGCCTTTAAGTCCCAAATAAACACACAGAGGCTTATATTAATTATAAACTGCTTGGCCTACTGCTCAGGCTTATTACTAACTAGCTCTTATGACTTAAATTTACCCATAATTCTTGTCTATGTTTAGCCACGTGGCTTGGTACCTTTTCTCAGTAAGGCATCCTTATCTTTCTTCCTTTGCATCTGACTGGTGACTGCCTCTCTGCCTTTCCTCTTCCCAGAATTCTACTAGTTTGGTTGCTCCACCTATACTCCTGCCTGGCTACTGGTCAATCAGCATTTTATCAAACCAAAGGAGTGACAAATCTTTACAGTGTACAAGAGCATTATCCCACAGCACCCATGTTCCCCTTCCTCTGCTGCCAATCCATGAAAATGTGGGCCATGCCTTCCCAGATGCAAAGGTCTGGACCTTCTGAAGTGTGAGCCCAATGAACCAATCAGAAATGCAAACCTTCAGGTTGAACTTATATCTAAGCAACCGGAAACTTGGAGGACAAGATCCAATCATCTTTAAATAAAAATAAAGATGTAAGTGTGTATGTGCACGTGTGGGTGTGTGTGCATGTGTGCACCATCATGTAGAGATCAGAAGACAATTTAAGAGGGCTGACTTTCTCCCACCATGAAAGTTCCAAGGAATTATAAGTTCTCAGATTAGAGGCAAATGCTTTTACCTGCTGAGTCATGGTGTTAGCCCCTAACAGCCAGTTCTGATCCATGCATACAAACCCCACACCACTCTAAGGCCTGGGTCAGATCCTCCCAGCCCAGCTCTTGCTTCTTTCTGGCAGAAGCTTGCTGGTGTGGACTGAGGTCTGTACTCAAGGTCACAGATGGGTTCTGTTCCCACCAGACCCCAGCATAGAGGGTAAGCTTAAAAAAAAATAGTACTGGGGCTGGAACCCAGGGCTGCTCAGCTCCACCCACCCATTTGGTGCCCATTATTGCGTGCCAGGACCTAGCCTCGTGCCCCAAGTACCGTGGTGTGGTTATAGGTGTGGGTTGTCAAGAGAGGATTGTCAGCCTCCAGCTGATCATCCCACCATCCCCTTCTGTGAGAGGAGAACATGGAGGTTGCAAAGCTTAGTCTAGTCTCTCTCTTCTCAGTTGGCCTCACCTGACATCAGTTGAGCAGTGAGCCAGGCATCATTCTCTGGAGCCTCACGTGCAAGCTCTGAGTCATGTATTGACTTCCTGATCTGCAAAGTGGAGGGAGATAAGGCTCCATGGCTTCAGTAACTTGGATCAGTGCAGGGAAGGACTTAAACACATGATGGATGACTGTGGCCCTGGGCCTCACCAGGGACGCCCAGGTGAGTGTTCTTGGCAGGAGGCAAGGAGGACATAGTGGATGGGGGCCCTACAAAGTGGAGTGCCTCAGGGTACCAAACCCTCCAACCACTCAGGACAAATCAGGGGTGTGGCTTTTAATACAAAAGTCTGCCAGTCTCTAAACATAAGCAAATGGCTACTCTTCTGTTGGGTTGGGGTAGGCTGTCTTATAGCTCGGGCGGGTCTCAGACTCCCTCAGTACTTGAGACTGGCCTTGAACTCCTGACCCCCCTGCTTCTACCACCCAGATGCTGGGATTGCAGGCATGTGCTACCCCGTTCAGTGATTACTGCTTTAAAAATCTCAGCTGCTTCTAGAGCCAGATAAATGTTACTGGGTGATACTGAAGGCACAAACTGAAGGTGCAAATGGAGCCAGTGTGTGTGTGTGTGTGTGTGTTTTGGGGGGTGTGTTATGGAAGTGTTGCTACCTCTGTCACCTGTACAACAGCCTGCTTCAGAGTCAGCTTTCCCTCAGTAGGTCCCAAATACCCTAAGAGCAGACCCCAAATATCCACTCTGACTTTCAATTCTCTGAGTCCCACCTGCTGCCTGAGGACGGGTTTTTCTTGTCACAGCTGTGCAGAGTGGTGAGCACTTACCTTCTAAGAGAAGGATTCTGGTCAACCCCTATCCCATCCACCCCCCCCCCCCCCCACCCCCCACCCCCCCCCCCCCAAGCTCCTCCACCCACCTGGCTGCCCAGGTGGGACTGGGCTCTCTGGTGGGTTAAAAGCAAGGCCCGGTGAGCCTCTTAGTTGCTGGTGGAGCCTTGCCATGGCTACCTCTGATGCTGTAAGTCTACCTACCTGCCTATTCCAGAGCCGTTGGCTAGCCTCTGCCTCCCGAGTGCTGGGATTAAAGGGGTGCAGCACCAGCTCCCCAGCTCTGGCTCACTGCCATTCTTTTCTCTGGTCAGACAATCAGCGCTGACGGTGAAGAGCACAAGAGGAAGGAGGAGGTGGAGAAAGAAAAGCCATCAGAGGCAGCGGTGGAGGTCCTTCCCAGAGAAGACACCGGAGACCCTCCTGGACTCCTGATTCCGAGGAAGAAGACCCGCAGACAGCAACACCCCCTGCATTATAGGTAGGGAGGCCACAGAGACCCCAGCATCTGTATCACTTGAGCTGCCTGAGACCCTTGGATCCTGCCTCCCACGCAGTGGGCTTTTTAAAAAAATATTAATTATTTATGTATATTAGTGTTCTGTCTTCCTGTAGGTCCGCACACCAGAAGAGAGCACCAGATTCCATTTCAGATGGTTGTGAGCCACCACGAGGGTGATGGGAATTGAACTCAGGACCTCTGGAAGAGCAACCAGTGCTCTTAACTACTGAGCCACCTCTCCAGCCCTTAGTGGATTTTTTAAATACCCTCTCACCCAGGCTGCAGGGATAATTGACTTCCCATACCTTTGTCCCAAGTTTCACCCCTATTTTACAAGCTTGTTAACCCAGTCAGGTACTGCAGGGGTGACATGTGGGGTCTTGACTCTCTCCTTTCCTCATTCCCCAGATGGGTTCTGTGGTTCTTCAAGAATGACCGAAGCCGGCCCTGGCAGGAAAATCTGCAGCCAGTCACCAGGTTTAACACCGTGGAGGACTTCTGGGCGTGAGTGCCCTCGGGGGCTCTGAACTGGGAGTCAGAGGAATCATAGTCTGCCACCTTCTCAGGCTGTCAACATTTGCTGGGAGCTGGGGCTTGGTAGGCTCTAGACAGACCATGCCCGTCCCAAAGCGTCTCAGGGTTTAGGGGGAAACCTCGGGCCAGGGAGAAGCAGGAGTGAAGCCTGCTACTCTGTGGCTTTGGGACCCTGACCAGGTTCCTTTCTATCTGGAAAGCTGGCTCAGTCATAGTAAGGATTAGGCTGATACTTTAGAATTTATGTGCCAGAGAAGAGAGTCGAGAAAGGCCACACAAACTCAAGAAGGAGACCAAGCTAGAAAGCCCTACTGGTGTGGACTTCCTCAGGCTTTCTCAGTGGGGTCAGGTTCCCAGAGAAAGGATTCTAGGCAGCAGGACCCTGGCAGTGTGTGTGGGGTAGGGAGGTCCCAGAGGGAGAGGAAGAAAGAAGCAGGTGGTGGGAAGTTAGGTCTGGTGAGGAGCTGGAGAGTCAGGTTCAGGTGAATTGTGTGCTGCAAAGCCTTGAACTCTGTGTGGGGTCTTTCCAGGACATACAGACACATCAAGCTGGCCAGCAAGCTCTCTTCGGGCTGTGACTATGCTCTGTTCAAGGTAGGCTCTGCTTAGGGGACGGAGTCCAGGGTTTTCCCTTCATGGATGACTGGGGCGTGGGCTGCTACAGATGCTCGAGTCTGGAGGGAAGAGAGTCTTGAAGATGGAGCCCAGGCTATTGGCCTGGCTTCTAAACTAACATGAACATCAACATTGTGTGTGTGGGGTGGGGGGTTCATTCCTTATGTCCAGTCCAGTCCAGTCCCATCTTGGAGGCATCAGCATTTAGAAATTTCTCCGGGTGTCTTCTGCCCATCAAGGTCTGGGAACCACATAGCCAAGCCTGGGATGTTTACCCTAGTCCACAGAAATTCTGGCCCAGAGGCACCCTGTTCAGTAAAGGTGACAAGCAAACAGATAAGGTTGCAGAAGGTGGCAACAGTGAGGCTCAGCGGCTTGTGGGGTTTTGGAAGGGGCCTGTGTGATTGGTGGCGACACCTGCTTGTGCAGACACTATGTAGGTAAGAGAAGCAGGCCTGGTCAAGGCCTGGGTGTAGAGCAGACAAGGCTGGATGCCAAGGGAATTTGGTGCCCACTTCCCTTAAAACAAAAGGAGGCAGTTGATCTGCCATTCCTCACAGGATGGCATCCAGCCCATGTGGGAAGACTACAGGAACAAGCGGGGTGGCCGCTGGCTGCTCAGTCTTGCCAAACAACAGCGCCACACAGAACTGGACCGTCTGTGGTTGGAGACAGTGAGTGATGGAAAGGGTGCGGGTGTGGGCCTTCAGGGGGATGTGGTCTCAAAGCTGGTAGGGTGGACCCTTACCATTCCCCCTCTGGGCCCAGCTGCTGTGTCTGCTGGGGGAGAGTTTCGAGGAATTCAGCCAGGAGGTGTGTGGAGCCGTTGTCAACATCCGCACCAAGGGGGACAAGATTGCTGTGTGGACAAGTGAGGCAGAGAACCAAGCAGGAGTCATGCACATCGGGTGAGAGAGCGAGCCCTCTCTGCGTGGGTTCTGGGGCCTGGGTGGCTGGTGGCTTGGCCTGCAAGGGAGACCTCTGGAACCCTCCGTACTAGGAGTGTAGACTCAAGCCATTTTAACTAAAGTCTTCGTGGTTCTTTTAACAGAACCCTTCGTGAAGGGTTCTGTGGGTGGCTGGTCTTATCTATGAGTAGGACCTGAAAAACAGGTGAGGCTGTGGCTGGAACCAGGATGGTCACTGAACTAGCTTGGCCTAGATGACGTCGGCCATCTTTCCCGTCTCCCACTCCAGGCACGTATACAAAGAGCGTCTGGGCCTCTCTGCAAAGACCATCATTGGGTACCAGGCCCACGCAGATACCGCTGCCAAGAGTAATTCTTTAGCCAAGAACAAGTTTGTGGTGTGAAGCAGACCTCAGCCACCGGTCCTGGGACACCCTCCTCCGGCTGTTTGGTGCACAGGGAAGACTACACTGCGGATCACGGGACAGCTTGGTTCTTTACCTGTCTCGGAATACACATATGCACCCCCACCCCTTAGATAAGCTCTCACTATGCTGCCCAGGTTAACCTCCTATTTATGAGCTTACGGCATCCTCCCACTCCAGCCTTAATAACCGGGGTTACAGTAGCTGAGCTCCCCATTGTGTCTGGGTTCATGAAAGATTCCTTCCCCATTTGTTAGGCCCAGGCCTGTGGCAGCTGTTCAATGCTTATAAATCACACTTGACCCCTAGCTCTCTGTGTGGCCATTTGGCAAAGGCAGGGTGAAGCCAAGTCCTGGCTCAACCCCGTCAAATGAGGACAGGAGAATCCTGTGGCCAACACTTCTCTGTGCCTGTCAGGAAAAGGGACTGGGTGAGCTGAGGCAGGCTCTTCTGTCTGGGAAAAAGGGTCCAGTCCACTGACGTTAAAAGTAGTGCAGTCTTTTTGTGAGCATTGCTTTGCAGTTTGGGTGCCCATCCTAAACCCTGTCCTTTCCCTAGACCAGCTGTGACTTGGTCCTTGGATCGGCTGCCCTTCCTACCCTCTGTACCCCCACTACTGGAGTAGGTTAGAGGGAAAACACTGGCATTTGTGGTGACAGGCAGGCTCTGGAGACTGAGAAAGCCTCCCAGTTCTCTCAAGACAGGATAAGAGTCCAGAGTGTCTCCTGCCGGAGGGCAGGCTGAAGTGGAGGAGTGGCTAAACCCTAACACCATGAAGAAATTACTGGTGGTGGTTGGGCCTCTCCATGGTTTAGAAGGGGTCCACTGGGGGCTAATGACACCTTTTGTATCTGTTCTCAATAAACTGGAATAAACGTGGAATCTAAATATTTAGGATCCAGGCTTCCCTAATCCCGGATCTGACCCATCCTGCTTCAACAGGACTCCAGTGAGTCCCAGGTACCAAGGAAACCAGAGAAAGCCCAAGTTGGTGTGGGAAGGAGCTGTGATAGGAACAGGCATGGCAGGCACTCCAGCCCCAGGGGCGCCATCTACTGTGTAGACTCTTGGCAGTATTCACTGGTGCTGCCATCTCCAACCACTCGTCCCTGGAGATGGACTCCACTGGTTCTGAGCCTTCGACTGGAGGCCAGGGTCTTCTCACTTGGGTCACCATTGCTGCGAAGGCAGGTTGGAGGGAGATGGAGAATGGGGGCTCCTCAGAGGTGGGGTTGGTCTGGCTGGAGGTGTAGCCGAAGCTTGGCCCAGAAACAGGGTCTTGGGGAGGGGTGAGGCCGGCTGGATGGAGGGGGCAGCGGTGAACGAAGTATGGGGCGTGGCTCCAAGAAGGAGAACCTAGGTTCAAAACTGAGGCTGACTAGGGTGGAGCTTGAAAAGGACTAAGGCCGGTTGGGGGCGGAGTCTAGGCAGGTCAGAGGCGGAACCCGGTTTAGAGGAGTGAGATCAGTGGCTGACTAGGGGCAGTCTTGGGCGTGGCGTGGGCGGGGCTTCTGGAGGACGGCGGCTGGGAATGGACAGAACCAGGGATCACTTAAGCTCGGCTGGGGGCGGAGTCGTGACTATGGGCGGGGCTCCGGGAGGACAGAACCTGGCTGGGACAGGGGCGTGGGCGGAGCTCCGTGAAGACTGAGCCCCGCTGAGGAGGGGCGTGGGCTGACTCCGTGGGCGGGGCCGAAACGCTGTAGGGAGGCGGGGTCGGATGAGGGCACCGCACTCCGGGTGTGGCGGTCCCAGAGCCGGGGGTGGCGCCACGGCGGGCGGGGCAGCCGGCTCGCTGTGTGGCCTTGGCCATGAAGCCGCAGCCGCCGGGCTAGGCCCGGGG